TGTGCTGCTATAATCGACTCTCGACTCGAGCGAGTGTCCTCCGAAGAAAGAGATTGGGAGTGGAAAGATGAGAGGGAAGGGAAAACATAGATGGGGCAATTAGAGAGGGAGAGAGAGGACTGAGAGAAAGAGGGAGAGATATTCAATATCGCTTTCTCTGACCTCGGTGAGAGAGAATACATAATAGAGTACTGCGCCGGTAGATTAAATGAGCGGCTCAAAATTAAACCGTCAAATGGGCTACGTGGTGCTTAACCCACCAAGAAAGGAAACAAAATATCTCTGACCTCTCTCTTTTCATCAGCCCCCTCATCTTATCTCTTCTGCTTTCCTGCTAAAAAGCCTCATCTTTTCTCTTTTCTCTCTTGGCGTCTCTCATCAGTCCCTTCAGTTGCATTTCCAGGCTCAGAAAGAACTTCAGTCTCCAATCCATCATCACGGCATAGGGTTGTAGAACTCGAGGCAGAAAAAGTCCGCCGTGCAATCTACGCGCGCTAGGGCTACGAAGAGAGCTCCCAACCAGAAGTCAAACCAAAGTCAAAATGGAACCAAACTGTTTAAATCTTGTCCCGGCTGAAAGAGCCCTCACGTGTGACCGCCCGCACCAGAGTCCCATCCTAGTCAAAACAGTGTTTATGAGTCACGATGTACAATGAAGTGTCTCTTGCTGCACATAGAATGGCTCTGCTGGGGATTTTCTTGCCACAATATATATTAGCATAGTACATCCGGCCCGTTGGCCGGATAAGCGCTTCTTGTATCATTCATATTGACCAAGTTATCATAATCGTTAGTGTTTGCATTCTCGGCCGTGTTATATTGTTGTAATTTATTATTTGAGAAATATTGTTTAATATCGTGTGCAATCTTAATCATGAGATGTTGATATGTTATAGGTTAATTTGTCAACCAAACAAAATATATATTTTTAAGTTCTTGACTAAATTAGTCACATGTTTATATTAATATTTCCAACATTTAGCTCGTAGTTAATACAAAATCAAGTCTTATGCGGAGATATATAAAGTCTTGATGAACAATTTTTTTTTAAGATTGTGAATCAAAACACTTCCAGTCATTGTCTCACACAATTGATATAAATCATCCTCGATGCTTGACCTAACACTCAACTAGTGATTGTTGTAATTATCTTAGGACATTATGAGTTTTTAAGTGAAAATGCATGATGATTAGGTAAATTTTATTTTATTAATTTGTTTCAATTAATGGGACTTGTGCGTATTACAGTTTACGCATAGATTGACGTAGCACTTACTTGTGATTCCATGGATGTTATCGTTAGTTATAATATAGAATTAATAGCGGCATGAAAACATTGCCTATTTGATTGTTATAAACCATATATTTTCCAAGAGGCCATTACTATATCCAACTGATCCAAGAGATCATCCAACCAAAATATAAATAACCAAATGATCACAACCCAATCTTTTTGTTTTTCTTCTTCTTACTGTGATCATAGCCCAAAATGTAGAAGCCTAATGGAAAAACGAAATAAAAACATAAGCCCAAGCCAACCATACACCTAATTCTATCTCCCGAGCAAAGCAATTAATCTTAAGTAAAAGGACAAATGTATCCTTCCTTGAAACGCAGGCAAGCCTCCAATTTATAATCTAAGCCGCCCTTTCCTGGAATCTCCTTATATTAGTGCGTAGATTATATTCACAAACCTCCCAACCCTTATTCACCCAACCAACTTATCAATTATCATTAATGCGTTGAATTATTTATTTTGTGAAGGTTCTTTTCATATTATATTATTTTGTGTCCCTTGGTAATAGATAATATACCAAATATAAAGTAAGAATTGAAAACAAATTGTTTACTGTGTTTCCTTCTCATCAGTAACAATTGAGTAAACATAGGTTATGCATAACACAAAAATTTGGAGTTGTCCACATAATATACTCTCAACATATACCATGTAGATCCATTGTACTGCATTAATACAGGAAAGAAACTCCATATATCACTAGGAGGACATACGTTCTTTAGTATATTTATGATAATATTTTATTTAAGAAATTCGAGCATAGATATTTCCCCTACAATCGTTAAGAAAGGTGAGATAAATTATTTGTTAGATAATTAAGTCTACAATTTGTCTACCATAAATTCACATTACATCTAATATGAAACACCTCAACAATTACAGTCAATTTGTAATTTAAATAAGGGAAAAATAGTAATCTATTAATCTAATGACAAATACTCAAACATTTGAGCAATCAATAAACCTGCAAATTTTCCAAAATTCAACATTTGAGGATGATTATTATTTTGGCCTGTTTGATTAAGATTAACAATATATTTTTACTTTATTTTAGAATTCTAATTAGTTATCTCATATTGAAATACTCTATAAAAATTACAAATTAAGTAATCTTAGCTGCTAACACAAAACTGGATCACTTATAGATTAAAATAAATTATTAATAAATTATCCGTTGTGTCGATTCTCTTTGAGAAACATTTCTTTTCTCCCTAAATATATAAAAATGAGTGTCATCTTATAGAGTTTAACCAATATAATTTTTCTATATATAAAAAAGGCAAAATCCACTTTCATAGCCATAACTTTTCGTGTTGTGACAAATATAGCCGAATTTTGAAAAATACACTTGTATAGCCATTCCGTCCAAAACTTTAACGGAAATCTCACAACTGCTGACTGGACTAACGGATGTTTGCAACGTGGCCTAGGTAATCTATGTGGCAGTACAGGTGGAAAGAGTTTAAAGAAAGATGAATTAAAAATAAAAGAAAATTGAAATAAAAAAGGTAGATGAATTAAAAACCCTTCCTCTACATATTCCCCGACCTTCCATTCCTCTTCTTCTTCATACACCCCGGCAGATCGACGAACCCAACGTGCTCAAAACACCACCATCCCCTCCATCGATCAACCCCTTCATACACTCCATATCACCCTTAACTTCCTTCCGTCAATTTCCCTCCGACACAAGGCCAACAACGATCATCCCACTCCCGGTACGGCCAGCAAACGCCGCTGCCGATGACTCTCGATTCTCCAATCGGACTCATTTCTTATCCCCCAACAAAATCAATGAATCAGCTCCTCCTCCCACCGGTGTCACAAGCTTCCTCCGCTCATCCCCTAAAAAATCCCTAATTTCTCAAAGGAATTGTTCTCTTAGAATCAATTGAAACAAATCTCTCCAAATCGATCCCTCTCACTGCATTATCCCATCTCCCACAACACACACCGAGAAAAAAGAAGGTGAAAACAAGAAAGTCATCACCCATGGCCGCTGTAGCTGCTTCTCTCTTCTACCTGGTCCCGATTCGTCGGTCGACGACCTTCGCAGGGAGTTCGTCGGATTGGTGTATGGGCAGATGGCGTTGGTGTGGGGGTGGAACGGGACGGCCCCGTGGGGATGCTGCTCGGGAAAGAGAGGGGACTTTGAAGGGTGGAGGAAGGGGTCATGAATTTGGATCTGGTGGAGAGGAATTTGGAAAGGCAAGCGACTGGGAAAAACAAGTAGTGGGAAAGCGATTTGGGGCAGGGTCGCAGCCTCGCGGGGATTAAGGAATAGAGAGAGAGAGAGAGAGAAAAAAAAACTAAAATGATTTTTTTTCCTTTCTAATTTTTTTATTTTAGTAAAATTATTTTTTAATTACTTTTAATATGAGGTGGCATGAAGATGTCCAGTTGGTGATGATGTGTCATCCAGGTGGCATCCACCTCAGCGACACACAGAGGTTATTAACGACGTTTGTGATGGCGTTAAAGTTTGTAAAGAAAATGGCTAAAGTTGTCAAGCAAGTTTGAAAAAGTGGCTATATAAGTGTATTTTTCAGAATTTGGCTATATTTGTCACAACGCGAAAAGTTATGGCTATGAAAATGTATTTTGCCTATAAAAAATTGAAATCCGAGTTAAAACAAATTACATATGATCAATTAAAGTTCTTCACACTAATATATGAAGTTGATCTCTACTCAATCCTAATTCTATTGGGTCACCATCATGTTAATATATATTTTAATTGAAATTCATTATAATAATATCAATAATAATATTTTAATTCTTAGTTAAATCGGAAACCCCGTAGAAAATTTTTGTACCACGTTTTTTTAAGACAAATATATATATATATATATTTTTTATTTTAATTTATTTAATTTCAAAAGACAAAAATATCCTTTCTAAAATACTCAGAAGCCTCGAATTCTAGAATTGAGTATGTTATTTCGGAGAACCTCCATAATATATTGGGAGCAGATATATATATATTTTTCACAATATCAATTATTATAAAGTCAGACATACAGAGAAAATACAAAAAAGCGCGAGAATCGACCAATAGTCGAATTCCCGGTGAGAGGGCCTTTTACCTAACAAAGGGAGATGGCCGATGGGCAGCGTAGAGCTGATATGAAAGCCGTGGCCCCGTCTTTGTTTTTGTTTCAAAAAATCATTTCTCCACTCGGGTAAATACCCACTCTCTCTCCCCCGCTCCTCTCGAGTCTCGTCCTCTGTCCTCCTCCATCCGTTACTCCGGATCAGTAGCCGCTCTGGTTTACCCTCCTCGGGCTGGAAGACCCTTTTGTTTTGCACTTGTCGGTCTCGGGTTTATCTGATTTCTTAGTGATATCGAATTCCCTCCCTCCCAATTTCAAACTTTGAAACCATTTTTCGATCCCTATTTCCCTTCCTTACCTTTCTCCTCCTAGTGGAATTAGGGTTCGGCAGCTGCTTCACTACTAGGAATTCAGGGAGGGTTTCTCTCTCCCTATATTACTCTCTTCCCCCCTTTCTCTGTCTCTTGAGCGTTTCCGTTCCCGGTTCCTCCATTCCGACTGGTTCCCAAACCTGTGCCATCCTCGATGTTGATGATTCAAATTCAAATTTGTCCACAACTCTGCCCAGCCTACTCCTTTGTTTAGATTAGTTGGAACTCTCCTTTTTATCAATCCCAGCTGCAGCTGCTCCCCCTCCCTCCCTCCTCGTGATGCTTGAGGGCAGGAGAATCTCGGCCAATCCCAGACCTTGTTCCGGCAGGAGGGTCTTAGCTAGGAAAAGGCCTCGCGTTGAAGGTCTCCTTAATACTGTCAAGAAACTTCAACGCCGAGAGATTTCCTCCAAGCGGGATCGTGCTTTCACTATGAGCAATGCCCAGGAAAGATTTCGCAATATGCGTTTGCTGGTAATCCCCCACCGCTTTTCTTCTTCCTATTTCAGTTTCCTTTGAAACTCTAATGATCATCTGCCAATATACTTAAAGTACTGCTCTTGCATCTTAGTCACAGGGCTACTATGTGTTGTCAGTCTCCCGAGTAAACTCCGTGTGCTTTTACTTGCGCACCATATCTGCTTCATAGATTCCACTTCACTCTTATCTTTTTAGCTTCCCTCGGGCTTCATCTTTATACATTAGTTTATAGTTTGCAGTACTGTTCTCAGGATGAATATGACACCCATGACCCCAAGGGCCACTGTTCGGTGGTACTTCCTTTTTTGATGAAGAGAACAAAAGTGATAGAGATAGTGGCTGCTCGTGATATTGTCTTTGCCCTTGCCCATTCAGGTGTCTGTGCAGCTTTTAGCAGAGGTAGGACAGTTTTGTCTTCATTTTATCGGCATCCTTTTGTTCTGTTAACATACTTTCTGATTCTTTTCCTCCACTTTCAATGCAGAGACGAATCAGAGGATATGTTTTCTGAATGTAAGTCCTGATGAGGTCATTCGAAGCTTGTTTTATAACAAGAACAACGATTCTCTTATCACGGTTTCCGTTTATGCCTCGGACAACTTCAGCTCCTTAAAGTGCAGATCAACTAGAATCGAGTGCGACTCCAAGCTTTGTTGTTCTCTTCTCCTATTTGCTTCAATGCTTCATTCTGCTATTTGCTGCTGCAACTGTTCTAAGTTATGTATGCTATGCAACTGTTAGGTACATACGCAGGGGCAAGCCGGATGCTGGGTTTTCCCTTTTTGAGTCCGAGTCTTTGAAGTGGCCTGGATTTGTAGAATTTGATGATGTCAACGGAAAGGTGCTTACGTACTCCGCACAAGATAGGTAGCTCTACTTTCTGGCATCTGATAAATATTGTGTTCTCGTGATTATAAATTCTGACATCTGACTTTGGTATCATGACAGCATATATAAAGTGTTTGATCTTAAAAACTACACAATGCTGTACTCCATATCGGATAAACATGTGCAGGAAATCAAGATAAGGTAATCTCTTTTTTGCTTCCCACTGCCTTGACTTGTTAAGTTGTTATGAAGACGCATTCATAAACTAAAAACCTGTTGTGAAGACACATCTTAGGTACCTGAATTAAGTATCAGTTAGTCACAGCTGTAGCTGTGATTACTTTGAGTCCTTGTGGTGACTTGCGTAAGGTAAAATTTTTAAATGCAGTAAACAATGGTGCATAATCCCTGAAATGTAGTAGATTGACTATGGGGAAGATTGTATGTAAATCATAGTTATCAAAAGCTCGACACTCTAGTCTGAGTCTTTCCCATGTGATGCTAGACACTCAAGTGTGCCTTGTCGTTGGTTCTAGGTGCCATGTGTGCCTTACAAGTCTCTTTGATACTTGCTTGCTGGATACAGATATGCAACAAAACATGCCAAAAAACGAGATCCCTTAACAAACTATAGTAGATTGAAGATAAGAAAAGGTGTAAAAGTTTCTTAGATTGTATGTCAATTTCTTATCTACTGGCATATCTTTGATTTTAAATAAGGAAATTCAGTAAACATTCATAACTAATCAAAGCCCCAATAGTATAAGGAAAGTGTAACATGTTATAGAATGTAAACACCCAAGGGTTGACCTAGTGCTGATGGTGTATTGTGTATGACAACATATTACCCTCACCCGAAGGTCAACATTGGTACAAACATCATGTTTGAAAAAGACACATCATAGGATGCATCCTAGATTCCCAGTTATGGCGAGGTTTGAGATATAAATCCTGCTAGATAGAAACAAGGAAATATATTGAACATGCTATGAAAGGTTTTGTGTTAATTATCATCATAAGCAAGCCGGCTAGTGTATATGGGCGTCTGCATTGTGCCTCGGTGTGGAAACCCCTCTGAGCCTTATTGTGCCTGGGTTGAGATTGAAATGAATGAGTAACAGAATAATTCACAAATTGGTTTGCTTCCTTTGTTTTTCTGTTTTCCAGTGCATGTATGACTGTCTTTGTGTTTTACTTGTTTGTATCAGTCCAGGGATAATGTTGCTGATTTTCAATAGAGCAAGTAGCCATGTTCCTCTTAAGATTTTATCAATCGAAGATGGCACAGTGCTCAAAGCATTCAATCATCTACTTCATCGAAATAAGAAGGTTGACTTCATTGAGCAATTCAATGAAAAGCTTCTTGTCAAGCAGGAGAATGAAAATCTCCAAATTCTTGATGTAAGTTATGTTTGTATTTTCATTGTTGGGTTCTTATCGTAGTGAAGATTGATTGCTTCCAGTGATAAGAACAATAGCTTTATATTTAACACTACCGGAATGTGGATGGATCTATGTCCATACCCAACTTCTTTCAGTCCACATCGGAAAATTTAGGCTCTCTACCGTGAGTCGTCAAAGGAGGAATAGGCAGACACCGGTTTGAAAAGCTAACGAAAAACAACCATCTTGTTTGTATCCACCATTCTCATTTTCAACTACATAAATTTCTGGTTTCTGCAGGTTCGAAATGCTGAGCTGATAGAAGTCAGTAGAACTGAATTCATGACCCCATCTGCCTTCATCTTCTTGTATGAGAACCAATTGTTCTTAACATTCAGAAATAGGACTGTTGCCGTCTGGAATTTCCGCGGGGAGCTCGTAACCTCTTTTGAGGACCACCTATTATGGCATCCTGACTGCAACACCAATAACATATATATAACAAGCGATCAGGATCTGATTATTTCCTACTGCAAGGCTGAATCTGATGATCAGTGGATGGAAGCAAATGGTAACTTTCCCTTCCCCCTATAATAAAGGAGCTAACTAAATGATATATTTCCCCATTAACGGGTTGTTTGCTTGAGGGTTTTGATGATGGATTTGGTCATGGAAACCCATCCTCATGGACTTGAACGAAAATCCATCGTTTGCCTTACGGAATTAGGAAGATAAAATCTGTGGGGCACACAGATTTTGGGGATCCAAATCTGTGGACCTCACAGACTTGGAAGTTCTAGCTAGGATTTCATCGTGGATTTAAATCCATGATGTACTTTCACATTATTATCCCTACATATTTTGTTATTGCCATGCTTAATCTTATGTTGCAACTTGCGATGTAAATTCGTCGAAGGAAGCGATGGATTCTAATTTCATATTTTTCTGTGTACATGGCCCAATTAGTTGTTAATTATTAGTGCCAAGCCATGATCGATTCTTATTTATGTAGTGAATCCATAATTTTCTCTCTTTCAATTCCATTCGTCTTTGGTTTTGCTCTAGTCCCAGCAAGAAGGGAACTGTAATCCTCAACGCTTGTTCTTTGCATTTGTTGTGTTTGTATAAACCTCCTAATTATCACGTTAGTGAGTTATTATATCCTATATTGCAAGTCTTTACCTGCTCGTCCCTTCTTTCTTTGGTTGGTAGTGTCAATGTTGCAATGTAAACATCTTAGCCTCTAAGGGTAGTTAAGTAATTTATGTTTTAAAACCATAAAATCTAACAAGCACACAATATACTTGCTCAAATTCATAATGCCACCAAATCCATCATACATCCATGGTTTTTCAAAATCCAGATTTTACAAAAACCTTCATTTTTCAAATTCACGAAGCGTCCCGTAAGTGATTGAGGTTCTATTATTGGAAGAATGTTGAAGAAATAATTTGAAATGAGTGGTGGTATGCAATGATGATGATGCAGAGTAGGGCACTAGTAAGCTAAACTAAAAAGAAATAATGTAAAAATGCCGGTGTCGGTTGATCAGTGTTCATGTGACCAGGTGTTCCTGTTTAAATTATTTCGGATCCATTACCACATGCCTTGGTATGCAACTATTTTGAATGTTTTGGTGCTAATGATCGTAATCAAGCACATGTTGCAACAGCATATTAGGGGGTGTCTGCTGTGGAGGTCCTCTGTAACTTGTCCTGTTTGAGTCTTTAATTGCTGTCATGGATTTTTTCGTATTCTCTGTTTAAATTGTCTGGTGAGTTGTGGTGTGATTGTCTCACCATGATGCTGATGTTGTTGCTGCAGCTGGGTCTATCAATGTCAGCAATATTTTGACAGGGAAGTGTTTGGCTAAAATAAATGCCTCCAATGGCAGTCCAAAAGGTGTTGAGAGCTGTACTGGTAGTGGTAGTAGCAGTAGCAGTAATAGTGGCTCAAAACAACAGAAGCACACGTCTATGAGAAGTACAGCAGCTGAGGCACTTGAAGATATAACTGCACTTTTCTATGACGAAGAACGCAATGAGATTTATACGGGCAACCGCCATGGCCTTGTTCATGTATGGTCTAACTGAAAAATACTCGAGCCAAACTATGCGCATTGTCATTGTATCTATAGCCTGTATATCAGCAGCCGAAGTTGATGCTAATGTCTGATGCAGTGATGCTGGTTCAGTTTTTCTCCTTGCTATTTCACCCTTTTCCTCTTGGCTTGGGGTGGTAGGGAGAGACCATCCTAAATTCATTACTAGGTACCATGTAATACCGGGCTGTACTCTTTTACTCTGATTTTGGTATTTGTTTCTAACATTGGAGCTGCCTGGCTGTATTGTTCTGTGGGGTAAGATAGAAGAATGGTTGTTGTTGAAGAATGTATGTTGTGTTCTTGTGTACTGAAGTAAACATGCTTTGTGAGTGAATTCCGCCTTAATCTCAACTCCATCCGTTGTGATTCAGATATCAGAAGGTTAGAAACTGTTGCTTTTTCTTATATGGATGAATGATAACACTTGCAACGTTCCTCTACCAATTCTCCAGAATGATCATCTTTCTACAATGTATTCACTCATTTGGTTGATATTTTGCTTTGTCCATCTATAGCCAAACAGCAAACATACATTCTCGCAGTGACCAGTTTCATTTGTTGGCATTGTGTAATACATGGCTAAACAACCTTCCTCACTGCACCAGTTTCATTTGGAGCATACTTATTTATTACCAACATTCGTGTAGATATAAATATAACCATAAACGTAGGAGCATCCACTCCAAAGTTGCGGAGCTAGTGGCCAATTAGTCCTGATGTAAGTGCTGGGTTAAAGCGTGCTGGATTAAAGTAAGAGATGCAATGGTGAAGGGCATTTAGTTTACCTTTAATAGCCAAAAGATAGACAAACGCAGGACCAGCAGCCACACAGAGGCCAATGGACATGGCGAAAGGGCCATACTGGTCACCGACACATAAGTACATAACACTACATAGCTTCAGTCACCCAACATTATGATGGCTAAAAATGATTAGACCATCTGAACAAGTTTGTTCTTTGCAATGAATGCTACAAGCCCCATAATACATATATAACTAGTAAAAGCAGAAACTCACGCGAAACAACAATTAACGTCCTCTAGGTTCCCCTTCAGAATTGCGATTTGTCAAGCAACTCAAAATAAGGATGTTCCATTGCTGCTTTTGCTGATGTTCTTTCGGCAGGGTTGTATTTAAGCATCTTCTGCAGAGTAGAGAAACAAATTGTGCAATGTTAGTCCCCAAAATGTCGTCAAATTATAAATGAGCTAAAAGACGACCGAAGATGATTCGAAGTCAAGTATGCTAGGAGGAGCCTTGGAGCTCACGCCAGGACCAACATTGGGAAGACAGTTAAACCTTAGCTGACAAAAACCAGCCACAGGCCTACATTTCCTACAATTAAACATTATGGTGTTGAAAACCATGAGTGTACTGTAGAACAGTAGGTTACAAGAATTTGTACGCACCGATAGAAGGTCCAGCCCATCTGGACCAAGAGAAGGAACAGCACGGGCAAAGTTTTGTGGCTCCCATTGCGGGTACACATGCCAATCTCGAAGACTAGTCACTCCTGGCCAATCCTTTTCAGTTGGTGTTCCTAACAGCCTTGAAAGGAACCATAGAATTCACTTCAGAAATGAAAAAGGACGGCAAGGGTCAAAGGCAGCAAAGAGGAGTACCTGAAGATGTGAAGCAGCTGTTGGAATTCTGAGTCGCCTGGAAACAGGGCTTGCCGTCGGACCATTTCAGCTGAAACAACAACAACAACAACAAGAAGAAGAACAAGAAACAAGAGATGATTATAGTAGGAAAAGGAGTTGTGAGAAATATGAAAGATACAAAAAAATAAGAGAGAGGAGAAAGAGGGAAGCGGACCAAAGATGCAGCCGACGGACCACATGTCAACGGCGGTGGAGTAATGAGTTGAACCGAGCAAGACCTCAGGTGCTCTGTACCAGAGAGTGACTATTTCGTGAGTGTAGCTCTTAAGAGGAACGGTGAAGGCGCGGCCGAGACCAAGGTCCGCGATCTTAAGGATGCCTTTATCCTGATCGAGGAGGAGATTCTGAGGTTTGAGATCGCGGTGGAGGACGCCATGGCTGTGGCAGTGAGCAACGCCCTTGCAGAGCTGGAAGAGGAAGCTCTGGATGAGAGTAGGAGGGAGTGGCCTAGGGTTTGGGCCCTTGCGGTGGGAATCGATGAACTTCTTCAGATCCGTGTCTAGGTACTCGAACACCAGGTAGAGGTTTGATTTCGGAACAGCAGTACTGTTCACCTTGTTAGCATCGTGGCGGCGGCGGCGTGTGCGGTCGCGGTCGTCGTCGTCGTCGTCCGTATGAGCGCTGGAATTACCGGAAGCGTCGACGTGTTCGACGGAAAGGAGTCGGACGACGTATAGTGATTGAGACAGCATCTGAAGCAAAGAGACCTCCCGGAGAGCAGTTGGAGGAATGCCTTCTTCGTCCATCTCCAGCCGCGTTTTCTTGAGAGCCACCAGTTGCCCCGTCGATTTGTCTTTCGCCTTGTAGACTTTTCCGTATGTGCCCTCCCCAACCTTTTCCAGCTTCTCATATTTCTCCATCCTGGTTTCCTTCAGTATCCAATCGGCGATGAATGAATCGAGAACCGTAGCAAGCCAAGCAAAGAGACAGAGCGCTGAGAGTAGGAATCGCAATTCGCAAACCCCCGCTCCCTCAAACGTATTTAGACCATTTGAATAAATGAGTTGCTTAGTTTGGACGGGGAGCGGAGCGGCACAAGGGCAGTGTCAGGAGGCGCGTTGACGATATCAGATCTAGATGTTTGAAATTCAAATTTCAAGAGTGACAAAAAAAAGGAACGAAACGGGAAACCAACAGCAGCGTATAAACAAGGTGGACACTGTAAAAAAAAAGGTATAAACAAGGTGGAGCCAAGAGATGATGGGTAGTTGGTGTTTGAAACAAGGGTGAAAATCGGTACCGTATTAGTATCATAATACCAAATATCGAAATTCCAAATATTGAATTACACCTTAAAGTAAATCTAAATTACAATCTCTAAATAATTTCTATATCTTAATCACAATCCCTAAATATTTCGGTATCCCAATCGGTATTATCGAATATGTAATTAATTATCTTGCAATAAATAATTAAATATATAAATTGGATTTGATTGTTTAATTTAGGGCAAAGAGACTAAGTAAATAGTCCTAAGTTTGCCTAGAGCTAAGATATGGATAAGGAGAATGGAGGAGAGGCGACATCTCAAAATTTTGTCATTGATAATCTTTAATTTGACGAATTGGAGGTTGAGAGACTATTAATACTAGTGTTTGCTTTTTAGTATTATGAAAATAACAAGAGATTAGGTGAGAAACGAGAGTTACTTAAACTGGAAAGTCAAAATTGAGTTGGATAGGGGCTTCTAAGTTGTGAAAAGGAGAGGAATGACTAAAGATTGAGTGCTATATTTTACTAATTTTTAAAGTTTGGTATTTCTCGGTATTTTGGTATATACCAATCTCAATCTCGTAATCCCGAATATAGAATAACACTCCAAAATAAATCAAAATTCCAATCCCTAAAATATAAGCCGGTATTCGCTAATACCAAATAGTGATAAATTCGGTACGGTATTCAGCATATCCCAAAGATGCGGCCAGGCCTCATCAGGAGCCATTCCACCAAGAATGGTACTCATGCCTTCAAAGTTAGCCATTCTCCAAAGGCCTCGAGCTATCCTGCAGGTAAAGAAAAAGTGGGAAAAGAGATTCTGGTTCCCTAGAACAAATAGGGCAAATAGTGTTAGTAACAAGCGTTTTAGTGAACAACACTATCTGTAGAGCCAAGAAACCACGAACAGCCCGCCAAAGAAAGAACTTCAACTTTGGTGGCACAGGAATACTCCAAAGCAGCTTGATGTAAAAAATAGTAGTGAGACATGTTTGATTAAACAAAATAATAGTGAGACATATTATACTTATAAAACTATTCAATATCACTACCCAAAAAAAATAATTAAAAAATTAATTTTATCACATATATTTATTTCTAAATGGACTGACCTCATGCAAAATCCTGGCTACGTCCCTGATGGTAGATACATTTTGTTTAAACGATAATAACCAATCTAGGAAGTTCATGTTGCTCGTTGGGATTTGTAGGGATGGGAAACCTTGTTGCCAAGTTGTGGTTGTTGCTACATGGTGACACTCTGATAATACATGGAGAATATCTTCATTCTTCCCGTTATATACCAGACAAGATGGGACTTATGACATTCTATTTATAGTATTTATCACTCCCATATTTGATACATTTCTCCTTTTATCAATGCATCTTTAGGACTTTATGTTGTATTTCATATATAAATCAGAACTATTTGATCAACGAGTCTTTAATAGACATAAGATGTGTTTTTGTAGTCTTTGATGCCTTCTTGGACTATTTTTATGGCTTTCTAGGTAGAACATGACTTGGGAAGATTTGGAGCAAGCGTTCGACATATCTAGAGGACAAAAAGAGCTATGAAGAGAAGAATATAGAGCTTTCATGATAAAGACGAGGTTCAATGACAGAGAAGTCTACTAGTAACCACGAGTAGAGCCCAAGAGAATCCCATTGGAGGAAGACCGGCCCAAGCAGAAGCAAGAACCAACGACAACCCAACAACTAGTCTAATCGCCACCCATAGTAACCTGGACAAATCATGATCAAATCTTCAAGAGAGGTTGTCCATTGGCCAAAGAGTCCATCACACGAAGAAAAATAGTTGTAGTTGCTACTCGTGACGCCAAGAGCCCAAGCCCAAAATGGAGGCCTAGAAGGCCTTACTTCGGCCCTAAATTAGAGAATCCGAGTCCTAGAGGTGTTAGGAAGCTTGTGGCTGAGTTGAGGAGGAAAAACCCCAGTTTACCCCCTCTCTCGCTCTTATTATATGAATAGATACTTAGACTTTAGTTAGAAACCAACTTTTACACTCTAAAACAGCTGATGCTTTGTCGGATTGAGGAGAGAATGACTCCACCATTTGTGCATTCATCCCTATCTTGCATGGCTAGCTAACTCTCTTGTTGTTTGGGATGTTGATTCCATGATGTGTGATGTATTACTTCTATGAATTAATGAGATGCCCAATAGCATCGATGGTCTAGTTCTTTATATGCTTGATATAATTATGTGATGCATTACAATGTGTATTATTTATACTACTATTATTAGTGATAGGAAACTACTCTTGTGTACTGTGTAGTATGAATAACCATTAGGCGTGCATAGGGGAAGTACAACTCTACAACCCTACAGGGGCGCTTTTTTGGGCATTGATTCCCCCTTGTAGAGTGGTCTCGTTCTAAGTCAGGAAGGTTGCTCTGTTGGCAGAGTAACAACCCTTCATTGACCTCTCGTCTTTTCCTCTCGAACTCTACCTCTAGAGCTCTATTTATAGATCTTCTATTATGCTTTCTGGTGAAGAAAACTCACATCTCCTGCGTCGTTAAGCCAATCAGAGCGCTCCAATCATGTGGCTAGCGAATCAGGATGCTCCAGGATAACTTCTTGACGAATTGGACGAGCTCCCTAAAAAGGCTGAGTGAACTCTCCTGGGAACCCCTTGTGCATTTCACCCTGGCGTCCGGTCTTCAAATTTTAGCTTCAACAACTTGGTCTCAATGTCCCCGACGACTTCCAAATGGTCCACTAGACTACTTTGCCCTGAAAATGCACAGAGCGTTACCAAAAGTGTATCAATCACATAAAAGCAATCATAGGGTTGCTATAACACACTTGAAGCAATCATAGCAATTATTCAAAGTGTTATGACACTATTAATGGGAAATGTATGCACTGAGAAAATTCAAGAAAGGAATAATCATATGAATTAGAGTTGTTGATCTCTTTTATGTTCCTTGATACTTGCTTTTGCTTGTAGTTTGCTTATGCTAGAGATGTCTTTTCTGTTTTTTTCCCCCTTCTTTTACTGGAGAAGTTTTTGAGAGTAGGTAAACAGAGTTCTAACATGAACACAAGAAGAAAGTCAAAATGGGGGTGTATTGGTGTTTTTTCTCTTTTAGTTGTAGAATAACTCATGTAAAATACTTTACCATCCAAACATGACATTTAAAATCAATTACCACGTTAATATCACACAAATACCACATTCCAAAAAAATGAATTATTTCATCTTACAAAAATCACACAACCAAAAACCTCATCCAAACGACCCCCAATGTGTAATAGAAGAATAAAGAAAGAGGGCGCCAGAGCGGCGTGAACAACATCAGTGCTTTTCGTTTTTTTTTTTTTTGTCCCTTGCAGAAAGCCGTGCTTTTAGTTACTTATACCATTACCAACACTACCACTAGCAGCGGCGACGACAACCTTTCTACTCGACTCATTCTCCCATATATTACCCCATTTTACTGTGTCTACCGTTAATACAACGTGCTTTCCTAACCACTCCCACTTCCCGCTGCTGCTGCGTCGCCGTCGTCGAGGATGGGAAACTGTGGCACTAGAGAGGAATCTGCTGTTGTTTCCAATGCTCAAGGTAACTAACTAACTTCCCCTCTCCCCTCCTACTTTCAGATCTGCTAGCTCTATAGTAGAGCAGAGTCGCAGCTCATTCATGCTCAGCTTTCTTTCTGTTTCTGTTTTTGGTTTTCCGGATGCTTGCAGGTTTTGGGTACTGATTTTTTTCGAAAGGAGGGGTGGGTACTGAATTTGACTAATGAAATTGTTGTATTGTTAATTGGGCAGTTCAGCAGCAGCCTCAAGTGCTGTTGGCAGCCGCCATTAAAAGCGTGGACAGAAAACCTTATCATCACCACAATCGGTCTATCTCAGATCTGAGCGATCCTTCTTCTACGCCCCGCAACTTCGATGACTCCGCCACTGCCAGCAACAACTCCCTCCTTTACACCCATGTCATCTCCTTCACTCTCTTCGAGCTTGAGACCATTACCAAGAGTTTCCGCTCCGACTACATCCTCGGCGAAGGTGGATTTGGCACCGTCTACAAAGGCTACATTGACGAGAATGTTCGTGTCGGCCTCAAATCTCTACCCGTTGCTGTCAAGGTTCTCAACAAGGAGGGTCTGCAGGGGCATCGTGAGTGGCTCGTAAGTCTCCTTCTCATCCCCTCTCACTTCCAGCGAATTTTTGTAACCCCAACTAACTATACAAGTTCCATTTATTTTGCCTTGTCTTGCAGACGGAGGTCAATTTTCTTGGTAAACTTCGGCACCCTAATCTCGTTAAGCTGATTGGATACTGTTGCGAGGATGATCACCGCTTGCTTGTTTATGAGTTCATGTTCCGTGGAAGCCTTGAGAATCACCTCTTTAGAAGTATGCCCTCTTCTTCTCCTTAATTTCACTTTGAATTCAATTCAATTCAATCTTACTCATGTCTCTCGTTCTCAATCTATCTCGATCCTAGCTAGTGAGGGGCTGTTAGTTCACTGATTGATTCCATTGTTACATTCCTCATAAGTTGTTTGTTGGGCTAGTATCACGGAGTGTACTTTACCTCCGGAAACTTACACTTTCAACCCCACTTATCACTTCCCTAACTCGCTTAATATTGTGGGAAATTCTGAATGGAACTTTTCTGGTGACACTTAAAATACTTTGTTAGCGTTTTGACTTCAATTGGCATTGTCTAAATGTGTACATTAGCAGCATTTGATATTTCACCATGTTGGCTTTCGGTTAACTTGATATTCTCTGAACCTTCTCGAGGCATTCAGAGGCAGCAGTTCCGTTATCTTGGGCGACCAGAATGATGATTGCTCTAGGAGCCGCCAAAGGCCTTGCTTTCTTGCATAATTCCGAGAGGCCAGTTATATACAGAGACTTCAAAACCTCTAATATACTATTGGACTCGGTGAGTTGTGGCTTCTTGACATCTTGTTACAGAAATGACTGTCCTTGTTTATTGACATCAGTTGCCTCTTGGTGCACAGGATTATACAGCCAAACTTTCTGATTTTGGGCTTGCAAAAGCTGGACCACAAGGTGATGAAACCCATGTATCCACTCGAGTCATGGGCACTTATGGCTATGCTGCCCCCGAGTATGTAATGACAGGTATGCTCATTTACTAAGACTCTAAGAGGTTGAAAGATTCGGGGAGTCCCCTTTACTTGGATCATAATGGTGGTTGGTACTGTGAGTTTATGGGGAGGTAACTGTTACTGTTGTAGTATATGATCCACGATTGAATTTCTTCCAACAACTCGAGTTATTGGGATCAACAGGTTCTTGACATGGTATCAGAGCCTTCTGTGACCGAAAGGTCTTGTGTTTGATTCCCGGTGATTCCCATTTGTTAAACACATAGTATTCTTGTCTTCAGACATGTGCAAACTTCAAGCCCTTGTGAGTGGTTTTCGTTTGAGGGGGCGTGTTAGTGTTGTGGTATATGATCCACGATTGAACTTCTCCCAACAACTCGAGTTATTGGGATCAACAGGTTCTTGACAGTAACAAGGTGTTGATTTGATCTGGAGTCTAACAATAGCGTGGGTGGGCATACCTTGCTCCCAAATGCGAGCTGCTTATATATCATTTACGCTTGTGTTTCTGAATTTGCTGGTCTGAACTGTTTAAGATGCTGGTGTTAAGTTAAACAAGGAACAGAGGGGGCATGAAAAACTATGCTGGGCACAATATGGCTGAACAAGTCATCGTACATGCAATAAATGTTTGTGATAAGGAATTGCATGAATTGGGCAGTAGCTCTTTTCTTCGTAACGAGAAATTCTTAGTGTCATGCTTTAGTTTTATCTTTGTCTGAGTTCTGGAGACAGAGTCACTCGTCTTTCTATTGTTCAGCTTGGTGAAACCTGTGGCTTCAGTGAATGTTTTACAGTGATTATAGAGATTGTAAGAGGGTCTGTCTTTTCTTGTAGGTCACCTGACTGCAAGAAGTGACGTATACAGCTTTGGGGTAGTTCTACTGGAACTGTTGACGGGAAGGAAGTCAGTTGACAAGACTAGACCGAGCAAGGAGCAGAGCTTGGTGGATTGGGCTCGTCCAAAGTTGAATGATAAGAGAAAGCTGCTTCAAATAATTGATCCAAGACTGGAGAGCCAATATTCAGTAAGGGCAGCACAGAAAGCTTGCAGCTTGGCATATTATTGCCTGAGCCAGAACCCGAAGGCAAGACCCTTGATGGGCGATGTGGTGGAGACTCTCGAACCCCTACAGTGCAGCAATGATGGGACCAATGAATTGTCATCGTCATCCTTAAAGGGAAGCAGCCTGACAATTGGTGGTGCCCATAGTGCATTTGGGATGGCTGATTCTCATCGAACACGCCGTAGATATGGCAACAACTTTGGTCCTGGTTCCAGTTGTCGGTCTCCTAGCCCAAATTGTGCACCAGGAGGCCCTGCTACTTGCAGGGTCAGGTGAGCCATTTGTGTCCTGTATGTATGTACGTCTCTCATCTCTCTCGTGTGACTTTCTCCTACCCAAACCCTCCAACTAAGCGTTAAAAGGAAAGTTATAAACTAGTGGCATTTCATCTCAATTTTGTTTGTGTAGCTCTGTACATTCCATCAATTCAATCATCGTTATCATGACACAGGTACTGGCCTGATCTGAGCTATCGCTCTAATCGCGACTTTTTTTAGTACTAGAGCATTGTTTGGTGCATGTCTTCGTTGAACAACTGTTATAGCTTAGCAATTTTTTCAAAAAATTCCTAAACCTTAACTTAGGGGTGGGAAAAAAAAAAACCCCGCATGTGGGTATTACCCAAATCCAAATGATTATGGGTGACGTAAGGTATGGGTAGGGTTGTTAATGAGCCGAGCTATTTGTGAATGGTTTGGTCTCGATCTCTGGTCTCGATCTCTATAAAAGCTCGTTCGGTTGAAAAAAAACATGGCTCGTTATTAACGAGCCGAGCTTGAGCTATACCTTTCACAAAAAGTTCGGTTTAAAGTGCAATTTCTCATTGCACCGATGGCCAATGAGGGGAAGGGAGGTTGTGTTGAAATCGTGTGACCGAGAGGAACGCCATAGAGTTGGAATTTGCAAGAAAAAAGCTCTTAAAAGAAATTTCATTTTTTCATCAAATAGCCTTGTGGGTCACGAACAGTTCGGTTTAAAGTGAAATATCTCATTGCACCGGTGGCCAATGAGTGGAAGGGAGGTTGCGTTGGAATCATATGACCGAGAGGAACGTCATAGAGTTGGAATTTGCAAGAAAAAAGGTCTTTAAAGAAATTTCAATTTTTCACCAAATAGGCTTATGGGCTCAGAAAAAGTTCGGTTTAAAGTGCAATTTCTCATTGCACCGATTGCCAATGAGGGGAAGGGAGGTTGTGTTGGAATCTTATGACCAAGAAGAACGCCATAGAGTTGGAATTTGAAAGAAAAAAGGTCTCTAAAGAAATTTCATTTTTTCACCAAATAAGCTTGTGGGCTCACGAAAAGTTCGGTTTAAAGTGCAATTTCTCATTGCACCGATGGTCAATGAGTGGAAGGGAGGTTGCGTTCGAATCATATGACCGAGAGGAACGCCATAGAGTTGGAATTTGCAAGTAAAATGGTCTCTAAAGAAATTTCATTTGTCACCAAATAGGCTTGTGGGCTCACGAAAAGTACGGTTTAAAGTGAAATATCTCATTGCACCGATGGTCAATGAGTGGAAGGGAGGTTGCGTTGGAATCATATGACCGAGAGGAACGCCATAAATTTGGAATTTGCAAGAAAAATGGTCTCTAAATAAATTTCATTTTTTCACAAAATAGGCTTGTGGGCTCACGAAAAGTTCGGTTTAAAGTGCAATTTCTCATTGCACCGATGGCCAATGAGGGGAAGGGAGGTTGAGTTGGAATCGTGTGACCGAGAGGAACGCCATAGAGTTGGAATTTGCAAAAAAAATCTCTTAAAAGAAATTTCATTTTTTCATCAAATAGCCTTGTGGGTCTCAAACAGTTCGGTTTAAAGTGAAATATCTCATTGCACCGGTGGCCGATGAGTGGAAGGGAGGTTGAGTTAAAATCGTATGACCGAGAGGAACACCATAGAGTTGGAATTTGCCAGAAAAAATGTCTCTAAAGAAATTCATTTTTTCATCAAATAGGCTTGTGGGTCACGAAAAGTTCGGCTTAAAGTGCAGTATCTCATTGCACCGATGGCCAATGAGTGGAAGGGAGGTTGCGCTGGAATCGTATGACCGAGAGGAACGCCATATAGTTGGAATTTGCAAGTAAAAAAGTCTCTAAAGAAATTACATTTTTCACTAAATAGGCTTGTGGGCTCACGAAAGGTTCGGTTTAAAGTGCAATTTCTCATTGCACCGATGGCCAATAAGGGGAAGGGAGGTTGCGTTGGAATCGTGTGACCGAGAGAAACGCCATAGAGTTGGAATTTGCAAGAAAAAAGGTCACTAAAGAAATTTCATTTTTTCACCAAATAGGCTTGTGGGCTCACAAAAAGTTCGGTTTTAAGTGCAATTTCTCATTGTACCGATGGCCAATGAGGGGAAGGGAGGTTGTGTTAGAATCGTGTGACCGAGAGGGACGCCATTGAATAGGAATTTTCAAGAAAAATGGTCTCTAAAGAAATTTCATTTTTTCACCAAATAGGCTTGTGGGCTCATGAAAAGTTCGGTTTAAAGTGAAATATCTCATTGCACCGATGGTCAATGAGTTGAAGGGAGGTTGCGTTGGAATCATATGACCGAGAAGAACGCCATAGAGTTGGAATTTGCAAGAAAAAAGGTCTCTCAAGAAATTTCATTTTTTCACCAAATAGGCTTGTGGGCTCACGAAAAGTTCGGTTTAAAGTGAAATATCTCATTGCACCGATGGTCAATGAGTTGAAGGAAGGTTGCGTTGGAATCATATGACCGAGAAGAACGCCCTGTAGTTGGAATTTGCAAGAAAAAAGGTCTCTAAAGAAATTCCATTTTTTCACCAAATAGGCTTGTGGGCTCACGAAAAGTTCGGTTTAAAGTGAAATATCTCATTGCACCGATGGTCAATGAGTTGAAGGGAGGTTGCGTTGGAATCATATGACCGAGAGGAACACCATAGAGTTGGAATTTGCAAGAAAAAAGATCTTTAAAGAAATTTCATTTTTTCACCAAATAGGCTTGTGGGCTCACGAAAAGTTCGGTTTAAGGTGCAATTTCTCATTGCACCGATGGCCAATGAGTTGAAGGTAGGTTGCGTTAGAATCATTTGACCGAGAGGAACGCCATAGAGTTGGAATTTGCAAGAAAAAAGGTCTCTAAAGAAATTTCATTTTTTCACCAAATAGGCTTGTGGGCTAACGAAAAGTTCGGTTTAAAGTGCAATTTCTCATTGCACCGATGGCCAATGAGGGGAAGGGAGGTTGCGTTGGAATCGTGTGACCGAGAGGAATGCCATAGAGTTGGAATTTGCAAGAAAAAAGGTCTCTAAAGAAATTTCATTTTTTCACCAAATAGGCTTGTGGGCTCACGAAAAGTTCGGTTTTAAGTGCAATTTCTCATTGCACCGATGGCCAATGAGAGGAAGGGACGTTGAGTTGGAATCATGTGACCGAGAGGAACGCCATTGAGTAGGAATTTGCAAGAAAAATGGTCGCTAAAGAAATTTCATTTTTTCACCAAATAGGCTTGTGGGCTCATGAAAAGTTCGGTTTAAAGTGAAATATCTCATTGCACCGATGGTCAATGAGTTGAAGGGAGGTTGCGTTGGAATCATATGACCGAGAAGAACGCCATAGAGTTGGAATTTGCAAGAAAAAAGGGCTCTAAAGAAATTTCATTTTTTCACCAAATAGGCTTGTGGGCTCACGAAAAGTTCGGTTTAAAGTGAAATATCTCATTGCACCGATGGTCAATGAGTTGAAGGAAGGTTGCGTTGGAATCATATGACCGAGAAGAACGCCATAGAGTTGGAATTTGCAAGAAAAAAGGTCTCTAAAGAAATTTCATTTTTTCACAAATAGGCTTGTAGGCTCACGAAAAGTTCGGTTTAAAGTGAAATATCTCATTGCACCGATGGTCAATGAGTTGAAGGGAGGTTGCGTTGGAATCATATGACCGAAAGGAACTCCATAGAGTTGGAATTTGCAAGAAAAAAGCTCTTAAAATAAATTTCATTTTTTCATCAAATAGACTTGTGGGTCTCGAACAGTTCGGTTAAAAGTGAAATATCTCATTGCACCGGTGGCCGATGAGTGGAAGGGAGGTTGAGTTAAAATCGTATGACCGAGAGGAACACCATAGAGTTGGAATTTGCCTGAAAAAATGTCTCTAAAGAAATTTCATGTTTTCATCAAATAGGCTTGTGGGTCACGAAAAGTTCGGCTTAAAGTGCAGTATCTCATTGCACCGATGGCCAATGAGGGGAAGGGAGGTTGTGTTGGAATCGTGTGACCGAGAGGAACGCCATAGAGTTGGAATTTGCAAGAAAAAAGCTCTTAAATGAAATTTCATTTTTTCATCAAATAGCCTTGTGGGTCACGAACAGTTCGGTTTAAAGTGAAATATCTCATTGCACCGGTGGCCAATGAGTGGAAGGGAGGTTGCGTTGGAATCATATGACCGAGAGGAACGTCATAGAGTTGGAATTTGCAAGAAAAAAGGTCTCTAAAGAAATTTCAATTTTTCACCAAATAGGCTTGTGGGCTAACGAAAAGTTCGGTTTAAAGTACAATTTCTCATTGCACCGATGGCCAATGAGGGGAAGGGAGGTTGCGTTGGAATCGTGTGACCGAGAGGAACGCCATAGAGTTGGAATTTGCAAGAAAAAAGGTCTCTAAAGAAATTTCATTTTTTTCACCAAATAGGCTTGTGGGCTAACGAAAAGTTCGGTTTAAAGTGCAATTTCTCATTGCACCGATGGCCAATGAGGGGAAGGGAGGTTGCGTTGGAATCGTGTAACCGAGAGGAACACCATGGAGTAGGAATTTTCAAGAAAAAAATGTCTCGAAAGAAATTTCATTTTTTCACCAAATAGGCTTGTGGGCTCACGAAAAGTTCAGTTAAAAGTGCAATTTCTCATTGCACCGATGGCCAATGAGGGGAAGGGAGGTTGCGTTGGAATCGTGTGACCGAGAAGAACGCCATAGAGTTGGAATTTTCAAGAAAAAAGGTGTCTAAAGAAATTTCATTTTTTCACCAAATAGGCTTGTGGGCTAACGAAAAGTTCGGTTTAAAGTGCAATTTCTCATTGCACCGATGGCCAATGAGGGGAAGGGAGGTTGCGTTGGAATCGTGTGACCGAGAGGAACGCCATGGAGTAGGAATTTTCAAGAAAAAATGTCTCGTAAGAAATTTCATTTTTTCACCAAATAGGCTTGTGGGCTCACGAAAAGTTCGGTTAAAAGTGCAATTTCTCGTTGCACCGATGGCCAACGAGGGGAAGAGAGGTTGCGTTGGAATCGTGTGACCGAGAGGAACGCCATAG